TGATCGTACCATAGACAAATCGCTTTGATTGCCGTACGTTTTCTCATATCAATGATGTCCCGTTTCAAGTTTGATCGTTCAATTTCTTGGAAATAATCAATCAGTCAATTAATTATCTAAATATGTATCTAGTTTTCTTGTGCGCACTCTGAAAGATCGACATTACATAGGAACCGATTGAAAGCCGTGGCAGTATCCACCATAAAGTAACTTGATTATGGATCATTCCACGCCAAATATATCACTTTTGGCACAGGATGTAAAGGATTTTGATAAAACTAAAATATGATGTAATTCATGTGAAATTAATAGAGAGGAGATGCTTATAATTGTTCTATAAACAATAAATAAAAATTACTTGAGTAAACTTTAATTGCTCATGTTTCGAAAACTTCACATTGTGAAATGATACAGGATTTTTTTATTTCTCTATGCATTAAACAATTATGAAACCATTCAAATAATGACTTAACCTCCTCCCCCTATAATTTCACGCACGCTACATCAAATTGCAATTTTATTACAATCTCTGACATCAAATAGAAAAAATGATCTATTTGACGTGGATCGACCCTTATAGGATTTATGCGTGCATTTCACGTGTGCAAGATTTTTATACTACTTCCGATTTTGGTTATGCCTTTTGGTTGATTACTCTATGGAGCAAGATAGCTAAAAGTAGTTTTAAGATATATGTCTTGAGCTATGTTACTCTTAGCGAATTCTTTATACATATTAGCACTAACTTTTCTCTATTGGAATTTCGCGTTTATCGCTATTTAAATATCTTCCATTTAAATCTGGACAACCGATCGTACCAGCATTTATCGAATTAGATGAGAAATAGGAAATCAACGCACTATTAAATAATAATAACGATCTTTAGTCATGAGAGATTTTGCCTTCATATTGTGCTTCGACTGAAACTAATTAATGTTTCTGCGTTCCCAAATAGTATTTCACCTTTTTACTTAATACAGTTAGTTATCACACATGACTTTAAATCTATACCTTTGCATTAACATCCAGAAAACAAACCTTATGAGATATAATAATTCATTGTAAGACTTGCTTGAAAAAGAAACTGTGAAACATTGTCCCTCCATATATTTCAATATGTATTATGATTCGTGAATAGCGTTGCCAAATAAACGAATTAATTTTGAAATTCATATACTCCGTATCAAAACAACTATGTGTTTTCTATTGATCAAATTTTTTTTTTTAAATTTGTGTTCGTTAAATATTTCAAAGAAATTTTGTCAAAATTATTATCAATTAATGTATAGTAGCAGCTTGACAAATTTTGGAAAATTTTTAATTCTTCGTATGAAATACAAAAAATGAACAATTACAAACTAAAAGGAACGATCGCATTTTATATTTTGATATGCATACTAGCGAATATCAACTAAAAACTTACCATTTCAATATTTGAAACAGTGTTCGTTATTTCACGATTTTGTGATAACAATAATCGATTACTTTCTTTGGTTTAGAATGATATTTCGTGAATAATAATTTGTTTGTGATTTTTATAACATTATATAATTTGTTCGAACGACATTAATCCATTAATTGATATGTTCATTAGAAGAAATTAAAATGGCTCTATCTGCAGTATTGTCAAAATTATTTCTTTTTTAACATACAGCTAAAAAAATTATTTTGCACCGCGTGTAATTATTTTTAACAAAAAGCCTTAGTGTTGTAATTATATGTTATTAATGAAAAATTCAAGCATATCAAATATCAACACTGTTGTGCGTGTTTCACTTTCATGCAATAAATAACAATTAACGAAAATACTTTTCGAGTTATTTTCAACTTTTTTGTGTCTTGGCCATAAAGAATATTTCAAAATATTAAATTATAAAACGAACAGTATTATTTAATTTAATACACAAAAATATTTCTGAAACGAAGTTAATTTACGAAATCAATTGCAAATTAAAATATTTCCTTCTCGTACATGCAAAGTTCAAAATTGCATTGTTCTCGATTATACTTGATATTACATTTTAAATACTGACTAATAAATTGACGCAAAATATACTGATTGTTATGATTTGCACAATGATTATCAACAGAATTATTCTTTCTCTGCGGTCGACAATTATTATAAATAAGTCGACGGACACATAATACAGAATGTATCGAAAAGTATAGGTCTATAAACTATTACAAAATCACCATTTTGCATAAATGCCAATTAACCATAAATTCAAGGAAAAAGATTTCTTTATCTTTTCTTATTCCCATGACGAGTAAAATCTCTTAACAACATATTCTCAGAATCTTCAAAGACACCATGTCAAATTAATCCAACAACACACGCAGATCCGCTCGATTACCGATTATTTAAATAATCGCTTAAATTAAATTAACGTTATATTAACGTAATCGAAATTAAATTGTACTAGGAATAGTTTTAACAAAAGCACTCGCTGAAGATATTCTTCGACAACGTGTACACTTGACTAGATTTCGTAAAAATCTCACATACGTGACAACATATTTTACGAACAACAACTGTACAATTACAATCTATTATACATACACCGACGTAATATGAAAATTCACTTACGAGAAAGGTCACTTGCACAAGAGTGACCATTAACTGTGGCAGTGGTCAACGACCGACCGAACAATGAATTTCATTCGTTAATGCGATACGTATTCAAGTATAATACGAACGAAAATAGATTTTAGAGCACGCGAATATGAATATAAAATATTCTGAAGTTTAGCCCTCTTGTATAATTTGAAACGGTACAATCTAAAAATGAAATATTAATATACATCATTTGAGGTTTATCCGTGTAGGTTCGAATCTAAAGGAGTAACAAATTCCATAATGTTATATAAACAGTAAACGTTATTCACTTACACGCAAACGTTTCCTTAGATATTGTACAATAATATCAATTCCACTCATAATGAACAATCTAGGGACTTCAGAAGCCATTTTACAGAATTGCGATCACGCTCTAAAGTACAAGAGTATCCTCAGATATTACCCTAGTCATTGTACTTTGATTTTAATAGTTACGTGAGCTACCGGCATTTATCAACGAATAAAGCTGTAGATATTGTATCTCGAAAGTCTTAATTTAGAGTAACTCGTTAGCTCAATGTGATTCTCGGTTTAATTTCTTCGCAACTATTATGTAAATTGATAATTTACAGTACGAGGTACCGGCTACTAGTTTCTCTATTCGAAATACTCCCATTGTTCGATACGATTTAAAACAATGCTTTTTTTCTAAGACTTATGTTGTGTCAAGGCGCGCTACGTGGAAGCAACAAATTCGTTTTTACAGTATGCGGTGTCACGTTGAAAATGAGTCGTAAATTAAGGGAATCTTGCACTCTAGATATTCGAAAATTCAGTTTCATAAAAAACATTCATAGTTGAGTGATGAAAATGTGTTTTCGGTAGAACATGAAACTAACATTTCTTCACCGTTAATAATTTTCTTACTCATCGAACGAAAAATTAATATATCTCGTAAATTATTAGGTGTTTACACTTTCGATCGAAAATGGCTAAAATAATTTTTGATTCTCTTTCTGCCTTAGTAACTTTAAAGGTTCCAACGAATAGTTTTATGAATTCCTAGTGTAAAGTAAATACTATAATATAAATTATAACGAGTGTCATATAAAGATTCAATAAAATAGTGATTCAGTTTATCTTTTCGTAGGATAAATCCTCGAGATACGCGGATTCGTCGATACGCGATTGAGCATCCACTTACATCCTTATATCTATTTTGTGTGTACGTATTTACATGATAAATAAAGCTTTCTATTCTTCAATTTCTCTTATCGTAAAGTATATATGAATCTGTTTGACCTTATTAACTTTTGAGACTACTTGTAAGGCTGTACACTGAATGTATTATAGGTAGAATGAAAGATCGTTTCTGGAAGGAATTGCGAGTCGTATTGGATCGGACGTTTCAAATCAGCCTTCGTAAAACCTGCGACTTAGCAAACATTAATCGACACTGTCCAATGGTATTACATTCTTCTTAGCTTGGGATGGATCTTTCTTTCTTGCTGCAATACATCATATTTATACAATTTAATCTGCACTCGAACGAATTAACCGCACAAATCGAAGACTTACTCTTATTAAACGAGAACCAAAGCTTCTTTAGCTTTAGAAAATGTTTCCCAGGCATATAAATAAATATTTAAAGTTTACAACAATTGTTGTTGATAGTGTTTGAGTAATATTTAGCCAGACATATTTTTGTAAATGTTCTGAAGCACAAGATCCTCTTAATAATCCAAGAAGAACTACATTTACGTCTCCTACAAAGATTATGTAATTTCTTTTAATTATAATTTGACTAAATTTCTGGAATTAATAATCATAATTTTGAGCCGAAACTCCTTTGCATACGAAATAAATATGTATAGTTTCCACGTATGGACGTACTGATACTGTGACTCGAAACGAAGCTAATTTTAACAACACTGTTTAATAAAGAATATAGTGTCCCATTAATAACGATCAAAACATATATTATCTGATGTTTTTTTACATCGTCGAAAGAAACCGAAAACATTTCATTTTACTCATTCATATAATATATTATTTTCACTGTCTCTCGCGTCTCTGAAGACGAATAAAGAAAATTATTATTAGAAATTAAATGACACTCTGAATTCGAACCCACATGAATAGTATATCCAAATACTGATAAGTATGCATTGATACAAATACTGGACGAACATAACGTTTACATCGTTGATGTTTCAGGAACATTAAAAACTACATTAATCCGTATACCGTCGAATTTTATGTTATTATTCAATACTCTCGTATTCCTTCCACGTATCGAACACAAAAATAGTATTACATATACGTATTGGACGTAGAAACCAATTTATCAAGAGAATCGTATTGATTCAATTTCGATATGAATTCCATTGAGCAAAAAATGATCATAATGTTTAAGAGAACATATAATTATTGCTTTGGGCTTGAAAACCATTATAGGAACAAATAATATTCTAAAGAAGAAGAAAATAATTCTACGCGCTTTATTCGTGTTTGTCCTATAAAAATTTAAGGACAATAAAGTCAGTTTCCACGCGTTTTCAATCTCTTTATCTTGCTTTGCATCTTTTGCCAGCCCTTTTATACGAACGCAGAATCACGTATTTAATATCCTAAATTGCGGTACTGTTTTAATATTGACAGCAGCAAATATTTATTCGTATTGTGCAAAATGTTTCAGGTATTTCTCGCCACAAAAAGAACTAATTCCGAAAGACGTTTTCTGCGTTCTAAAATAATACGCTTCTCATATTGCCAGGCAAGTATAGTTTATACACCCGTGTTTCTTACAAATTCATTTAGCTACCGGTACGTTTGCAAAATTAATCAACGTGCGTTTAGCTAAGACATCTAACTAAAACATCGTCGAACAAAAGTAATTTTGTAAAACATTTCGTTCATAAAGTCGTCAAAGATAATACATTTTACGAAAATAACGTTTTACAAACATTCAAATCTTTCGCGCATCCGTACAATTGTTAAAGGAACACTATAAATTTCGCGTTTAGCGATACGCTGAAACTATTTGCTCCGTGCGCAACAATCCCCGACGATCAACGATCGAAGAAAAATAATTCTGTAGCGAATTATTATAAATATCGAAAACGAAAGGTTCGCAACCCGTCAAACCTACGACGGTACTTTAACCGCGAGTAATCGAATCGGTTCTACGGTTAATCTTTGTAAAAACATCCGTAAATTGGTTCGTCTAAAGCAACGAATAGTTCTTAATTGATGTGTAAAAGTCCACGTTGTTCGTCGAAAAGTACAAATTCGCGTACTCCTGGCACCGTCTCGTCGAAACCCGTGCTCGGCAGTCTTTTTCTTCGATTAATAGACTACCCACGCTTCGAAGATCCATCGATCCTCTGTCCGTCTGTAACATATTCGTTAGAAAATCAACGACGAGCCGCACGAGTACGATTCTTCGCGACCTTTGGAAGTCCAGATGATTCTTCAGACGAAAGCGTCATTTCACAGAAATTAATCGGGCCCTCGCGTGGGCGTTTTCCCTCAAGTGTTTTTGAGATTCCCGCCACGGACCAGGTCGTGTTCGCGCCACGAATTCGTTGTGCATATGCCGTCGCCTCTCCACCATTCGTTCACGTCCTTGTAAAATTTTGGTCGTCGATCGTCGTGCAACATCGCGCAAACGCGACACCAAAAGTACGTGTTGATGAACTCCCCGGTACCTTTCCACCGGAAGTACGAATTGTAGAGCTCGTCGTCGCGGTCCAAACGGTGCAGATACTCCGCGAGCTCTTTCGGCGACTCGAACTCGTCCACGTGGATGTAGGAACGATATGGCGCGCTTCGAGCGTAATCCGTTGGATGCGCGCCCATCACTATAGGCAGGACGTTGTGCCTGAACGAAAGGAAAAAACTAGCTTCAATATTCAAATCATAAAAAAAAATATTTGAATTGAAATAACAGGAAAATTGCAAAAGGTAATCTGGATATCATTGTTTTATTTCGATGCATCACGATTGTGTTTAGTCGAAATCAAACTGTATCTTGTCAATAACGTAAACGATGTTTGCTTTGAGATCATTAATAGTTTGTGATTTGGTAGAATAAACGACAGACTTAACACGGTCTTATCGTTCTTCTTGGAGACCCCTATACATAGTTGTATTTTCAGCTCGACTGCAGTATCATGCATTTCTAGCCGTATTTATTTAACACAAGGAGCATGTAAGAAGTTTTTGGTATTGTTATTTTGTATCCAACTTCCGTGAAAATAATTATCAATTTTTATTTAACTCTATTCAACAATACTGTGGAACCTCGATCAACCAAGACCTTGATTATTTAAATCTTTGTTCAAACGCGGTAAAAAAACATGTTATGAGTGAAATATTACATCCATCTACAATTTTGCATGTTATGTTATTTTTTCACGATTTCATTTAATTTCTCTTGTTGCAAAACACCAAATGTTGCCATTGACTTCTTCAAGAACTTTCAATTCACTTAGAGCTTTGAAATTTTGTGGAGATGGAAATTCCAGACAGCAATGCAGTATTAAAAAAAGTTAGGCGTATGTTTTACCTTTTGTAAATATTTTACAAATTATTATACGATATTTTTACATTTGTATATGAAAATTTTAATTTAAAAGCTAAAAGAAGAATAGAATGTCATATCAAGTCGATTGTGTTTATAAAAAATTAATGCTTAGATGCAAGCTTGACATCGATAAACAATTGAATTTATTGCTTTGCGAATTTCTTCAATATCTTTTTGAATTTCGATAACTGCATTAAAAATCGAGGGGCGTTTATCGAACAGATTATTTAACTAAAGACTTTCATTTGGTTTGCATTTACGCAGGCACTGGATAAAAAAGACAGTTATCTTTATAAAATTCTATTGTTAGTATTACTATCATTACGATTAAAAAAATATACATATATTGTAACGATCAGCGATGTCCCACAATGATGAACAATTAGCTTTGGTCTGTTGTGTGAATGACTACCATATCCACTCGCTTTAGCACTGAACCGTGTAATAAAATTCACGTAATAGGAAATCTAGCGACACAGACATTCTTAGCGTCACTTTTTTATAATTACAAAAATACAACTAACAATTGATTTTTACGTTGTTATATTTTAATTACATGTTTCGTTTGAAGAGTCTTCTTAACTATGACTAATAATGATATAAAATATATACCGTACCCAAGACCGTTCACGAAGAACTTTTCCGTGATATAGTCCTTGCAATTTGAGTTCTCGAATGCGAGATAGAACTTGTAGTCTTCGTCGAGCATATCGAAACACGCTTGAGACTGTGAACGAGGACACCGCAGAGAACCGCAAGTTCCATAAATGTCCACTTGTATGTATTTTGATAGCACTTTCGCGTAATGCATACGTTGATTGCGAGGATGGCAATTAGAAACGAACCAAGCCACCTAAAATTATTGCAAACGAACTAAAATAGTAACTGAATATATCTGAAGCAAACGAACGAAAATCAATTTCTCTCTTCGATTGGTTTAGCTGTATACAGTTATGTATTATTTAGTAGATCATTCCATAAGTAATGTCGCTTCCTGACACTGATTAATAACTTCTACGACCTTGTTCCATCTATCAACCGACATTTCGATTCCATTCTACCTCGATTAAAGCCTTTAATGCCTCAAAATCGAACGCTGTTGGTCAGAAATGTCAAAATCACCATTTTGGATTATCGAAAACCATCTTTAATATTTTATCAAATTTAAAACACATTCGATATACACACTAAAAATATTTTTAATAGTATCTGTAGTTATACTACCCTTATTCAATTCGTTTATACTCGTTTTAAAATTTCTTTTTTGATAAAAATTGTAGACTATCGAGAGAGTACTCTTTGATCCTTCATGTATGATTTTTAATTTCAAATGATAGGCTACAGCTTTCTGCTTAATTTTTACTGATTTTTAATAAAGTATAAAAATGTTATAAAACAAGATACGTAGTACGATAATTACTACATCGGAATTAAACATTAAAGCTTGATTCACAAGTATAAAAAAAATGTACTACAAACTATCAGCTGAGTATTTACAGTAAAATAGGAGACGACATTGTCCGTGGGGCGACCTAATATTTTCTCGAATAAAGTAAAAGCGTAATTACCTTCTTAGTCTTGTTGGCTGCGTAATTAAAAGATTGCGATATTTGTGTAACGCTAGGATCATAATACTGCCACCTTTCGTAGGGAGCGACTATATCGCTGTCACGACGATAAGTTGCCGTCCAATTGATGAATGCGTTCTGTACGCTTTGCGTGTGATAAGGACACTCTAAAAAATACAGCATCCACACCTGTTGAAAATCGTATCAGTCTCATTCGACGTGCATAGCTAAATTTTGAACAATAGCACCGATATGAATTTCCCATTGCTATCAGCAAAAACGAAAAATGTATTGTTCCGTATTACTAAATCATTTATACACAATTTATTTCGATATCATGTTATGACAATACGTGGTTGTAACAAACGATCATTCAACACTTTCTACCGTCTTTGTATTGTCTTTAGAACAAGACCTCAATTTTATCTAAAATGCAGACTGTGTTTTGATAAAGACGTGCATTATGAGGATACATATAATGAAACATTCTTTATGTGTGTTCTGAATGTAAATAGAAGTAGGCAAATGACACACTGTGTGATTTAAGTGAATTAAATAATATATTACTGCTACCCTATGAAATAAAACAATACAGGATTCCATTGAAAAAAAACAATGTTGACACGAGATCTATTAACTTTCTCGGGGTCGAATTATTGCGTTTGAAATAAAATTCAAGGTTAATTAATATTCGAATGTTCACCAGTAGACTCTGGATGTTTATGCAAATGCATATTTTTATAGAAAACATGTAGAGCAATAAGACCTGGATAGAAACATGTTTTATGATTAGAGAATTCGAAAAATATATTTTTTATTGTGCACTTTTTGCATAATGCATATGTTTTTATGTTTTATGTTTAAAAACATATGCAATATATTATGGCATATGTTCTTAGCCCTGCATATATACTTCGCGCTCATGTGAAATATCTTTCTGATGGAATTAATTTAGTTTGTCAGGAAACTCTCTTATCATGACTATATAGTGTCGATAACATAAATACTGTGCTAATTATAGATACACATCAAGACATACTTGTATACAATAGGCTTCAATTGTTCGTTGAGCGTTAGATGTGACACTGTGTTTCGAATTCAGGTAGTTTAGTTTGATTACCTCAGTGATATCAGGAATCGTGCTACTACTTGTACCTATTAAAGTATTTTTAAGAATACCGAAAACTCGAAGAAGTAGAATAGCACTACTCAAAAGTTGGATTAAAGACGATTCTAATTTTGTTATCAATGAAAGCAATGAAAGAAGTGTGTATTGTGAACCTTGTAATAAAAGTATAAAATGCGAAAGAAAATCCCAATTAGTGCAACATATAAATACTACTTCACATAAAAGACACCTTAAAGAAGCAGCTAACACCAGTGGAAACGATACTTCACAGCAGCCACCTACGAGTTCCAAAAAAAAAATGAATTTTACGCAGATTTAACCCAAGGAATGGTTGCTATCAATATGCCTTGGTGTGCCTTAAATAACGATGTATGGAGAAATTTTCTAACGAAATATACTGATCGCACTATTCCGGATGAATCGACTCTACGAAAAAATTACTTGGCTGATTGCTACGATTCAAGTATACAAAATATTAGGGAAGACATTGCGAACCACTGTATGTGGATTTCTGTGGATGAAACCACGAATGCAGTAGGCCACTACATTGCAAATGTAGTAGTAGGACAACTTTGCGAAGATCAAATAACGAAACCGCACTTATTGTGTTCCAAGCAATTAGAAGCGACAAATTATGCAACCATATCTCGGTTTGTAAATTCAGCCCTGCGAATATTACTACCGAATGGTGGTGAGGAAAGAATTCTTTTACTCGTCACAGATGCAGCACCATATATGATAAAGGCAGGAAAAAAACTAAAATTATTTTACGAAAATTTGGTACACATTACATGTATACTGCAAGGTCTACACAGGATTGCGGAAGAAGTACGTCTTCACTTTCCACTAGTGAACAAATTAGTATCACGTATAAAAAAGATTTTTGTTAAAGCACCGCTTCGTATTGAAACATACCGCAAAATATTAACAAAATACTCCTCTGCCACCGGAACCTATTTTAACTAGATGGGGTACGTGGATTGAAGCGGCATTATTTTATGCTGAACATTTTGACAAAATTAAAGAGGTTTGTTGAACTTTCGTTAAGTTAAACAAGTTTATTTAAAGTTTGATTAAAGCCATATCTATTTTATTTTTTATGTTAATAGGTAGTTTAAACATTTAAAGAAAAAGATGCTGCAACAATTAAGACAACACAAGATGTGATCTAACAAGACGAACTTGTACAAAATTTAATATTTATTAAAACCCATTTGAGCATTTTGCCTGCCACGATAGAAAAATTGGAAACAGTAGGTTTACCTTTAAATACTTCGATGGAAATATATATGAATTACATTAATCATTTAAAAGATATACCTGGTGAGTGCGGAGAAAAAATTAGAACAAAAGTAACAGCGATTGCAGAAAAAAATACTGGGTTAACGAAATTAATACAAATTTCAAATAGTTTGAACAATGAATTTGTACAAGATCCAATAGATTCGCATATTCTGCATATAAACTAATTTTTACAGATAAGCGTCGGCAACTAACACCATCCAACTTGGAAAAAATGCTTGTCATTTATTGTAACTCGAATTATAATATGTCACAATAATCATAAAATGTTTTGTTAATTTTGTATATTTTCCCTTCATATTTGCATACTTTTCGTGCATATTTGCATATATTTAGAGCATAAATAGCATATGTTTATTACATATTTATTGGGCATAAACATCCGGAGTCTATTCATCAGTATCCATGAGCTACTTTTCCTTTGAACAATTATTCTACAATCAAACTTTACAAATAATCGCATTAGGTATTTTGCTAAACCAACCCTGCATAATAATATTAAACGAATTATTTCAGTCGCTATTTCACATCGCTATTCTCGTTTAATCTTGGTAGAAAAAGTTACCGATATAAACAATTCAACATTTCTAGAATACAATTAAGCATGTTGAAAAATTTGTACCAAATTACAGTCTTCTAGCAAGGATACAAACATTTTAAATATTAATTATCCTAATTGGATGAATGTTCTTCTATAGTGCATAGTTTGTAAAGTAATATAATTTCGTGTGTAAAATTAAGTCACAATCAGGTGTAAAGAATATAATTACTAATCGCAAAACGTGAATAATCCAAGTAAAGTAGTAGATAGAAAATGTAATATTTGTTAATTTTGTTTCGAACACCAACGTCTTAAACATTCTAATCGATTAAAGTAGAACAATGATTCGTGTTACGTACTTGTTTTGGGGATCTTCTTCGGACATGAGTTACATAATCTTTAAAAAGGATTAAATCGGCGTCGTCCGGATTTTCCCTAACAATCGTACACGTATTTACTGGGCAACGATGCTGAAGAAATATATCAGGACCAACTTTCGCCTCGGGCATACCATGCGGAACCATTATTTTTTTTAACGGTTGCTCTGCACTTGTTTTATTATAATCATAGGGCACAAACATCAACTGCAAAAATGTAATATAATATAAAATTAAAACATTTATTTAAAACGTATCGAAACGAATACACATTCATGTTCAGTAAGGAGAGTTCACAAATTATATCACGCAAAATTAATTAATCTCCTACTTTCCATTTGTTATTATCACGTTTAAAAATGCACAACTTTCACCAACTCTCGAAATAAATATCCTCCTCAGAAAGATATCGAAAATATTACAAAGAGAAAAATTACACGAATGTTACAAATTGAACCTATTGAGTAAACAAATTTCACAGACCGCGAAAAATCGGGAAAAAATCAATTTTTTTTATAATGTTACGTCGAACTTGAAGAATCCACCTCCTCCTTATTTTTCATATAATTCTAGTAATTACTTTGACTGATTTTCATTGAACCTTACTTGATTCGTCACACGATCGTCATACGCGTCTTCTTCGGGCCACAAGTGCGCCAATCTTCGACCAGTTCGATTGGATTTTAAGGCAGGAAAAGGTCTCCTGCTTCCTCCTTTCATGTACCATGGTCTTCTTGATGGTTCCAAGGCATCCACAGTAATGTGTGACACGATCGTCGTGCCTGGTGAGTTGGATACCTTTAAACGAAAGAAACACGTAGCTATAGCTCTTAAATAAATCACTGCTCCTTTAAATGCACGTCCCTTTCGCAACTTCTCTAATGCGGCTAATGTTCCGTAAGCATGAGTTCTATGTATAAGCTGGTATAATTTGAACAGAATTGTACATTTGTGTCAACGATCCAACGGTACTATTATTTCAATTAATTAACAATCTGAAATATTGAATAATTTGACCTGTTCGACTTTTTCATGGCTGACTAATTTTCAATTTGCATTGCTAACTAAGCACCCCTTAGAAAAACTAATGCATGTAATATGTGGGTTGCAAGAAACTTCTATCTTTAAACGATTTTAACTTTTTTGCATAGACTTACAAGAAATGGCACTCAACGATAACACCGTAATTTTGTATCATTTGATACGGATAGAGTTAGAACAGTTTCAGTGAATAATGTTGGAAAAATTATACGTAAAAGCAGCTAATTCCAATGGCATGATCGATGATTCTCGAAATGGTTACACAGACGTGCAATTACAGCGATAACAGTGCATATGGGATTCGAACCTTAGGCCTGACGTTCTATAGCGTAAGCTTGTTGCTGCTACTGACTTTAACAAACATCTTTATTAAATTTAGAAGTGTCTGTTTACTCTGTACCCGTGATTAACAGGATAGATCGCGCTGAATGATTTCTTTGAACATACGAAGATCCTTTAATAAGCAAAGAAACAAATGCTGCTGAAATATTGTTTATTTCATAACTGCTACCCTTAAAAGTACATTAAACGGACCATTTGTTTTATTTTACTTTCGAATTTTTTATCTTTTATGACTACTCAGTATCGTCCCAAATAGGCGAGGATTAATTTGAATTAATTTTAGTGATTTGTAAATAATAAACACATCATAATTTTATTTTGAACGTATTAAATTAATTGAATAATATTCAGTAATTATTGTATCAATTAATATTATATTAATTTACATATTATTTCATGGTAGAATCATTGCTTATATCATATACCAGTAATCAATAGTAATTTCTAATACGATGAAATGATTCTCCCTCATTGTATTTCGCATATGTATTGTGTTGCAATCGCCTAATGATGCTGCAATCTAATAACTGTACCTCGTGCAGAAGCTTTTTCTTCACTGTTTCCAAAGTCTGCAAAACCTGCAACGCCGGTTTCTCCGATTTTGATGGCCGATTTCGTTTGATCTGCGATCAAAATTCGACATTTCTATTCACCATTGCCTGTTGTTTCTACTTTCGTCTACCAGTTGACTAATAGCTTCGATCTACATATACATTTATCGTCGTAACGAAAATTAAAATTCATCTAACAAAGTTATTTTTTAAAAGAAATAATCATCGTCGAGACACAAGAGTTTAACAGACAATACTCATCAGAATATGCAACAAATCCCCCGAATGACATCAAAATTTAGTTATTTCTACGCGTCTGGGGTCTACCATATAACGGAAGCAGAAAATCGTTCGTTCGATATTTAGGTGTCAAACACTTTGACACTTCTCGCGTAACTGTAATAACGCTCCAAATTGTGCAAAGTACCCTGGTCAACATGATACGCATAACCAAGACCTCCAGAACTCCAGCAACGTGGTAAAATTACAAAAGAAACTACCTAGTGAAACTTACGATCAGTGTAATGAGTAACACAGGAACACAGCAAGAGAAAATTCTACACAAAAGACCATACCAAGAAGTAAACATTGATCACCTGAATACACACAGGAAACCATTTTTGCACTCGTTATACGACAAACATAAAACACCTCCCTTCGACAAACTAAAAAGACTTAGAATCAGAAACGTAATGCAGGACACCAAGAATCATAATCGATATTTGTAATAATTTGTAACCTTGTGTTCAAGATCATCAGGTTCTTCTAAAAAGCACAATAAGTACAAGACTATAAAATAGAACGCTGTTCAAGAATATACATACGCATCTAGACAGAAATTAACAGAGACTGTGAATATACTATAAGCAACCGTCACCATCAGTCGAGCAAAGTTAAGAAGCAAAGCGACACTCAACGATGGCAGATTGACCGGCTTTCCCTACGAAGAAACTAAAGTCATCGTTGACTGTCCGGTTAAGGGCTTCGAGGGGCAAACACTTTACGCCTCTACCATTGTCTCTTCGACCCACGTTCGCTCTGAGAACGCTCTACCTGCCTATTTACTGAAGGAAAGAGAGCACGAACTGTTTCAGGCTCTCCCTCTCTCTCAAATATGGAGGACAGACTGTTTAATCGACGCGGCAGGTGCTGGCGGTTGTGGGTAAAGGTTACTGTCGAGGTGTTAGCACCCAAAGTATACTGGAATACGGAGGGATTTCTCCTGAATATCTGTCGACTGTGATGCACGGAACAATACATTAGTTATGCAACGAGATCGAAGAGGAGCGTATTTAATACTTTCATGGCCCCGTGTTTCACGTGAAGACTGTCGTCTGTCACGATTTTCGCGAGAGGTTCAACTCGATGGAAGCTTTCTGTTTCTTTCAAACATTGTCTAAACCAGGGATGATGAACTGGTGACCCTTAATTCTACTTGGCTAGTAAAAGTTTAGGAAAGCCACTCCACGATCATTTGTCTTCTTGTCAAAGAAAAGTAAATGCAGAAGATTGGTAACATAGTAATAACGAGAGATCTAGGTAGCTAAAGATGGACTGTAGCAAGTGATAAGTTTGCTGGTCCTGGTCTAAACTACCCCTAGGTGGTGTCAATTCGATCGAAGGAAATGTATTTTATATTATCAGTCGTTCTTGGCAATCAACCCAAATATGAAATTACAGAGAAGAATGAACCGAATGCATATTTACAGAGATCGTGGAATACTCTTTCGTTGAATATGAATGCTTAATAGAAATTAAGGGTTCACTGATACATCAAACGATAGTTCGTCAATTCAACGCATTAGCTTAATACAATATTAATGTATGAATTTCAAACTACACGATACCTTGGTGTCTGCAGCACGAACTGATTGAGTTTGTGCGGAATGGGGTCGCATACGATGCCATATTTCGTCCTGTAATAGATTCAGGATAACCAACAGTAGACCAGACAGGCATAGCACGTACAAAAAGTATCCCTTCAGAGAGAAACGCGGCAAACCCATGCCGCACGTTTCCTTCTTGTCAAAAATCTTTATCTGTCCATGTGCTGTTGGCCGTCCGACTCTCAATGTCCATTCAGTTTAACTAAAACCAGAAAACAAATTTCTATTAATTTATTAACTCTGCAGAATCTGTAGAAACTTTTTTTTTAGATACACATCGTTAAATGCGAAATTAAAAATTCTTTGACACGCAGAATAATTTTTAATATTGGAACATTATTGGACTAAGAGGCGACTTGACTTCTTAGCTAATCCTTTATTTCATGCGTTGAATACGAAAGGAACAGACTTTACGTACATCTTGAAGGAAGCATACGAAATGATAATATAAATTAAATTAGTAGCAAAGTACACGAAGCATGTAAATTAAATTTTGTTATGCACGCTCGTTCTCCGACAACTGTGTCTTCGTTATACCGAACTTCTTAACCTATTCCACCTGGTCATTGCTCTAATTTGTTTTTCTCAGTGTCCTACTTGATGCTCTTTCTTTCTCCCGCCTGCCCAGGTTGTTAACCTAATTACCCCTGCACTATGTCACTCTATTCTTTGTCTTAACGTTCTTTCCGTCTTAACGGTTAGTCTGCTTTTCAACTGTGACCTGTATATTTGCAAGAGCTAACCCTCGATTCTAGCCTTCGCGAAAGCAGTTTCTTATTACTCGTTGTGAATAGAGTCTTACTGAGAGTACTCTAATACGAAATAATCTTTGCTTAAAGCATTTTATCGTATTTTTGCGTAAATTGGGGAATAATCTAGTTTAACGCATTACAGAAATCGATGTATTTTCCCACTTATTTAGGGATCGAATGTATTAACCCTTTTATATAAGTATTTTGTTTATATTTAAATTAATATATCAAAGTCACTGCAAGATTAACATTATAAAAGGGTGAAGGAATGTCCAGAACAGGGGGTGTAAAAGAAAACTTTTCTTAATATTAGTACATCGATCATCAAAATTGAGCAACTATTGAAAATGTACTTTTTTAAATCGTTTCAAATACACCACTTATTTTTAGACAGAAATTTTTGTATTTTTTTTAGTGTAGTGTAGTTTTTTTAAGTAATTTATACTTTGTAACGAGTCACATAACACAGTAGTTGCGTGATATTTATTAAGTAGCAATATGGAACGAACAAAGGAATAAAACGCTTTTATTATCACATAACTCGGTGGCAATTACGTTTAGTCACGCGCTTACACATTAGTAGTATAAAAAATTGTTTGAATAAAACATTAACGAATCAAACAAGTTCAATTATTAATGAATAAAAATAGTTTGGAAGCTTTCCTCGGAAAAAGGATAGATTTTCGTTCGTTTAAGCGCATAATATTTTGCGATGTCCGTTTTCAAATTTAGTACACTTCACTGTAACGTAAAGTAAACTGTATACACGAACATGCAGCACGGTACGTTAAGAGTACGCCTGTAGGGTGAAATTCAGTAGGGGTGAAGGTCACTTAAGCAATAAGAGACACTTAAGTGTCGCTTGTCACTCTGGGGACTTTGAGTTTTTTTTCTTAGGCCCTATCTCGCGCTTATTTGGCTCTACCTACCAATAATTTAACGATACGAATCTGTATCGAATTCCTACGTAGAGCTATTCCATTCGGGACATTTTCTGCTCTTATGTAATTCACGGCACGACTATGTACTTTTTAAGCATGGTAATACAAATCTGATTAACAATACTATCACATAACGTTCAACGTGCATCTAGAATTACTAAACTATGCAACGTCAAACCTTTATCTTTTTTAATACTCGAAGGATTAACAAACCGATCAGAGTAAATCAGTGCTTCAGCTATAAAAATCATTGCAAGAAACCAATGAATAATACATTGCAGACACATACTCTTCTTTTACATTCCCATGTGGGAAATAAAACACATTGATTACACGCTGATAAATTCCAAACTGAGTTACACCGACTATTCGATAGATCAAACCGAAGTCTTATCGACTGTGGGAGGCGCCAGATTTCCTTATCTCGTTTACGAACTATAAACAGATCCAGCACCAACACCGATATATCGAACTGCTTGCATTGGCTCAAAATACAAAAATTATAATTTGCTCCTATTTCCGACATTCCTCAAGACGATTGTCTGATTTAACGATAAGTTATTAGACGTAAAGTGTTTTTCTCTTGGCTTTGGATAAAAATGACCCAATTTCCGCAAAATGGGTAAAGAATCGATTAGCACTGTTGCGTCATACGGTCATGGGTGCGGCAATGTCGGGACAAGAGGAGGTGGCATGTCCATAACGGTCCAAACGCGTCATTCGGTATTGAGGTGAAGATCGGTGCCTCATATTAGTTACGGACCAAAACCCTACATCTTCTGGAAAATACGAAATGACGCACATTTCACTCATCAAAATATCCCTATTGCTAAGAGACAATTTATTAGCAGCGCCCTTTAGCGTGGGAGACCCTTACATTCTCACTGACCCTTCGGATCGCCCCTTTTTCGCACAGGGTACCCTACGTTATCAGAAAAATCGAAAGCTTGACAAGGTAGCCATCCTCAAACGTCGATACATTGACTGTCACGCCTGTTTCCCGTGTCTAGGAATGTCTATATTTGTTTTAATTTTAAAACAGGAATATTCAATAGCTCGATAACGTTTCTAATAACAGTAGCATTATTTAACAATTTATAAGCAATAGGGAACGTTCGTTTCGAATACTTGAAAGGAACATGTGTTAAACGAAAAATAAAATTTCTTTGACATGATTATTGCGTTCTGTTGGGTTGAGTCGTGAGTAATTAACAACTTAGTCTAAAATGTATTCTCCGTTATTACGTGTAACCTTCCCAATTAATTCGGTAGTTTGTCAATTTCTGATATAAACGAACTCCTTTCAGCAGTTCGTAATGAATTATTCCTATTCGATCCAACCGTGTGCAAAGAAGAATCTTCATTTTAAACAAATTGGTATTCCAAATATGCTGCCCTTCTTATAATAATACGGAATTTTTTAAATGTATTATATTGTAAAATCATTTTATAACGCATAAGGAAATGAGCATAAAAACAGGAGAAGCTGATTATTCATTTTGATGAATACACACTCATTTATTATTTATTAATTCGTGACCCCGTATCAAATTCAGCTTAAGCTATGCATCGACCAATTATTGATGCGTGCGTTTATCTTTAATTAATAAATATCCGCGAGTTTATGGGGAACGCGAAACTAAGTGGATCCGGCAGTTTCAAAATACCAGACAGATTTTGCAAAATAATCTTGCAACGTATCGTGTAAATATTTATGATGCGGGTGCCATCAGAATTCTCCTTCAGCCCATCGTGCATTTATAATGTATGAAATACTGTACAGAATTGCTGTCGTGCATCGAATGTGTCAAGTAATGCATATTCATTGACCAGCTTGGTTATTAAACTTAGCCTTGTTAGCTTTATATCTGCGCTTTCAACGCTGCACTTTGAAACAACGAAATAATAACCGTGCCACAAATGTGATAATAAAGAATAAATGTAACGTTAAACGACCACGTTTCCTTGAACCGAGAAAAACTAGTTTTTAAAAATATTCTGTATAACAAACATCCTTATTAGTAAAATAATTTTCACGTTTTAATTATTATTGTTTTACGTTCCTGATGTAACGAACCGTTTATTACCAAAAAATAGGAGCATATAAATACATATGACAGAATTCTTTATTTTGTTAACGTAACGTAATATTATTTAATGATTTAATAAAATGTATAGAATATTATATTATAGATACTACATTGATATCTGTATGTAATATTTCTTGTTTTCATTAGCGTGTAAAATATACCTTGAAAATATTGAGAACTTTTTAAAAATATTTTGATTACCAAAATTCTCTTAATCTCGAATCTGAAAAAAATATATAAAAAATGTTCATTTTGCTTTTCCAGAAAATTTTTAGGTTCTTTCAGTGACTCAAAATCAGCAGAACTTTAGTCATTCAATAGTACTATGTTCGTTAGTTGACATGTTGCATTTTATAAAAGTAAAAGAAGAAGAATAACAAAGGAAAATTACAGCCCTTCAAGTTCGGTTAATACGTGATATGTGGTACACGCGATCGATATGTCAGTCGTGTTTCATTGTCGCATCAAATTTACGTTAACTCCTATAAAATTCAGAGCAATAGAGGATTTTTTCTCAACCTTTGTCTAACATATTCAAACAAACTTCTGTCAATCGATTAAGATTAATTTACAACTACGATATCCACGACGTCGTTAAATATGTCTTTGTAATCACTATTACAACAGAGAAAATGAAATTATACAGGGTGTTCGGCCATTCCTGGGAAAAATTTTAATGGAAGCTTCTAGAGGCCAAAATAAGACGAAAATCAATAATATCAATTTGTTGATTGAGACTTTCTTAAAAAGTTATCAAAAAATTAAATTACAAAATTTCAAATCGTTCTGAAAAAATTATTTTTGGTTGCGGAGGTCAATTACAATTATTTTTGGTGAATAGACATACCCCCAAAATCCTAGCCACTTTCGAGAAAAAAATTCCTTACCAAAAATATAATGAGTGGCCAGAAACGTTAACCCGAAATTTCATATGAATGTTTAAAACATCATAACTCCCGAATGTATTGAACGATTTTAATGTTTCAAAATGCAAACGATGCGTATTTTAGTGAAGAATATGTAGAAATTCCAACAATATTCGAAAAGTTGATCCTTGACCCCGCAAAATGAGAAAACCCCCATAAAAATGGTCCAATTTTCAAACAGCTATAACTCTTACAATAGTGAATATGTTAATGAAACATTTTTTTCTGAAGTAGAGCTCATGGGTACCTACAAAAAAGTATTAAACAACTTTTCTGTATTGTGTCAAACAAAATTATTAAAAATGAAAAACTAATTTTTAAGGAAAATCGACAGGAGGTAAAATTTTGACGAAAAAAAAAATTTCAAATCGTTCTGGAGAAATTATTTTCAATTGCGGGGGTCAATTACAATTATTTTTTATGAATAGACATACCCACGAATTCCTACCCACTTTCGAGAAAAAAATTCAGTACGGGCGGAACTTCAAACGTT